TGTATGTTGTTTTCAACCCAGATCTGCTCAATAAGGCCATTTAAAGCTTCACGCATCTTCTTAGCCCTAGCTCGCGTGACTGGACCTCCTTGGCTGTGTAACGGATCACATGACGTAGTAGATATGTTGTTGTCTTGATTCCCATCATGATGGGTATTTCATGGCATTAGAAACATTAAAAATAACTTGTCCATTTTCCACCCTAAGCATCAACTTTCCTTGCTGCACATCAATTAAAGTTCTACCAATAGCTGGAAAAGGTTAGCCTAAGATAAAAGGTATCTCATGTTCTTCCTCCATGTCTAAAACCATAAAATCAATAGGAAAGATAAATTTATCTACTTTTACCAATACATCTTCAATAATACCCCTTGGATGTTTAATAGATCTATTTGCCAATTGAAAAGGTACTATTGTTACCTTTGCCTAACCAAGCCCAAGCTTCCTAAAAATAGAAAATGGCATCAAATTAATGCTTGCTCCTGAATCACACAAAACTTTATCAGAATAACAATATCCAATTATGCAAGGAATTGTGCAACTCCCTAGATCCTTTAGCTTTGGGGAAGTTTATTTTGAAGAATTGCATTACATTCTTCAGTAAACCTCATAGTCATATTCTTCCAATTTCCTCTTATTAGATAAGATCTCCTTTAAGAATTTGGCATAGCTAGGCATTTGAGTTAATGCATCTTCAAGAGGAATGTTAATGTGCAATTTCTTAAAAACATCAAGAATCTTAGCAAATTGCTTATCTAGCTTACGTTGCTTCAATCTATGTGGAAAAGGAATTGGGGGCACATAAGAATTGACTTCCTCAGATTGATGGCACTTGAGATTTTTTTCTTTCTTTGGAGCTTCTTTTTTTTCACCATCATTGTTCGAGCTTTCTTCCTCTCCAATTTGCTTCCTACTTCTTAAAGTTATGGCTTTCACTTGTTCCTTAGGATTTTTCTTAGTGCCACTTGGTAAAGCTCCTTATGCTCTTCTAGAAACTACATTTGCCAATTGACCCACTTGAACCTCTAAATTCTAAATTTGTGTAGCTTGGTTTTGGATTGTTGATTCCAAGCTTTTGGTTGTTGCTTCTTGATTTTGAAATCTTGATTCATTAATAGTGATGAACTTTTTTAACAGATTGTAACATTCAAATTTTTTTTGAACTTTTAGAATTTAAGTTAGGGACATATATGGTAGAAATTATTATTTCTGAGCCTAATGACTAAAATTTTCAAACCTAAGGGGGGTTAAAAGAAAAATCTGATGATAAAAGGGGCTAAGGTTGATTTTCCTTTTTCTCCTTGCCCATTTTTGTGTGTTCCCCAGCCCCTCACCAGAATTTTTCTTCCACAAACCTTAGCCTACACCTAGCACCTCCTCACTAGAAATCAAATGAGATTTAGTTCTTTTTCTTCCTCCCAAGCTTGATTTAGAGACTTATGAGCTTATGGGGTTCAAAATAATGATCAAAACCCAGATCTTGCTATTGATATCCTTCCAATTTTTCTAGTTTTGTTGGGTTTTGTACAGCGTGAGGAGAGGTCACCATTTTTGGGTAAGAAATTAACCACATTGCTCATCTTTTCATCTTTGATTTAAATTGGGTTAACTTTAATCCTTTAGGGTTTTCAATTTGGGATTTGTTTCTGTAGTTTTCCCTTTGATTTTGCCCATAGTCTAGCACCATCAAATTTGATCCCTTTTGTTGGGAAATTCTGATACCATGACCTTACAATAGTGTTTTACTCGTAACTCTTTTTATAACTATCGGATTAGGTCGATTCTGGATTTTATGGAAAGTTAAGAGAGAAACCTACAGTTTTTCTGTTGGACGTTTAACCTAGTTAAGTTGTTTTCATGGTGAAAACTCTGTTGCAAGTTTGGTTCTTGAAGCAGCTCGCCTTGATGTTAGTATTATGACCATAACTTTCTTTGCAGATGTCAGATTAAGATGATTCTTGGTCCTATAGAAAGTTGAGACATAGTGCTATAATTTATCTGTTAACCATTCAGCCTAGATTGGTCAATTTTTGGGTTCGAATTCTATTGAAACTTTCGGTTCAAAATTTGACCAGAACTTAGAAATTTGTTACGTTTTCTGCTCAATTCCCACGTTATTTGCTACCACATTGCATCATGGTTTTAGTAGAATTTTAGCTGCTATTTTCTTGCTCTACAACTCCTTGTTATTGTTTTATTTTGGCTGCTTTTTTACTATTGCTTTTCTACTTAAATGCTGCCCATTTCTGCCCAATTTTGGCTTGTATGCTATCTTGTTTTGCTACTGTCTTTTTGCACAGAAAATCTGTTTGGAATATCTGCTATTATGTAGTGTCTTTTTGGAGTTGTTTTAAGCATATTTAAGTATGATTGCACATATTAATATATTAGTAAGGTTTTAAAGGGTAGAGGTGATCGAGATCTGTAGGAAGAACTAGTTTCTTAGTTAGAAACTTGATATGAGATTAGAAACCAATTCAATTAAATGGGGTATGTTGTAATCTTGTTTGTCCTTTGTTGTGGCATAGGTTCTAAATCACCTTCACCACCTTAAGATCTTAAACTCTTGTTGTATATCTACAAGGCGAGGTAAGTAAAAGTATGGTAAATGCCCTTGAATTTTAAGGTAAAGGTTTTAAAAGAATATTTTGAACTGTTTTTGAGATGGTGGCAAGATCTATACTAATTTTTATTAGCACATGAGCATGACTGGTTTGAAATGAAATTGTTATTATTTTTATTGAGTTAAGTATGCCTACATGGAGTTTACTTGATTGTCATGATGATCTAAAATTTTATTTGTAAATTATGACTTTCCTGTTACCTCCTGCATATTTGTAAATTATGAAAATTTTCCTATTGAACTCTTGCATGATTTTGTCTCCAATATGGTCATGATTCCTTAAGCCCACCAATGGGAGTTGTAAACTCTAGCACATGTCAACATGTATATTTGTGGGACCTTTCCATTCTATATTCCTATTATTTTTGCTAGTGGGATAATACATTGGTTATGCCTGACGCCTACCAATGGGAGTTTGTTAAACACTAGACATGACTAATTGAGAAGACCACTATTGAATTCTACTCTACATTATTGGTTTATAATTGAGATTTTCCTTCGAGTTACGTTTTAAATTGTTTATTTGGCATGCTTTAAACTTAAATAAGGGCTACTCGTATTTTTACTTTTGAGTTATCTCTCATAGTTTTTCTCATCCAACATTTCAGGTAGTGAGACCAAGGACGTGGGAAACCAAGGGGAGTGACGTGCTAGAAGGCTAGCCACTTATATTTTGGACTTAGTTCATTTTAGAGATAGACCTACTAGACTAATCATGTTGGACGTAGATGTTGGAAGATAGATCATTCTTTTGTAGACTAGATCCCCCTTGGAGATGAGATAGTCATGACCTTATTGATGGAGTTGTATAATTTTTGTGCACTTTGGCCTAATCAAACTTTGGTTATTGAAAGCTAGATTGTATTTTAAGATTGTGGAGATTAGTTTAGTGGATAGCCAGATATGAATTAAACAGATTTTGAGCCTTATGCATTTGTGGGAGTCTCTCACAATTGTACGGCGTCTGTTTGGCCCTTAGTTTTGGGCCGTGACACAAATCCTCCAAAACTGACTTTTTCTCAAGTGGTTGTTGGAATCCTAGAGGTTGCATTACTATATTCTGGTTGTTACTCCAAGAAAAATTTAGAGGATTCTCTTATCCCAGATTATATGTATTGGAGTATGGATTATTCTGTTACTTGTTAAAACCAACAAAATTAGCATGTTCAAATGAAGAAACAAAAGAATTACCTTCTTAACATTCAAAACCAGAAAGTGCTCCCCTACACAAGTCATAGTTGATGCTTTTGGCTTGGATAGTTGAAACATTCATCCTAGTTAAGTTTTTGTTTAGGGCTTCAATTAGTGCTGTCAAGGCTGTAAAAGCATCAACTTTATGAATTCCAACATTCTTCCTAATTTGTGATCTTTCCAAACCCCATTGATAACTACTGAAGTAATCTCCTTTATTAGGTTATAGGCTTCCTCAAGACTTTTACTCATTAATGATATTCCAGCAACTACATAAATCATGGTATGATTATTAGGAAATAAACCATTATAAAAGTGTTTACTTGTAACCATATAGGTAGACCATGACATGGACACTTCTTGAGTAGCTTTTTGTATATCTCCCATGCCTTATATAATGACTCCATATCCAATTGCACAAAAGTGGCAATATCATTATGCATCTTGGCAATTTTAGCAAGAGGGAACATCTTAAAAATTTCTAGGCCATCATATCCCATGTAGTGATCAACCTAACAGGTAAAGAATTTAACCAATTCTTTACGTTATCCTATAGAGAGAATGGAAAAAGTCTTAGTTTAATAGCATCATCTGAAATTCCATTATACTTGAAAATGTCACAAATTTCTAAAAAGTTAACAATATGAGCATTAGGATCATCACTTGTAACCCACTAAATTGCACAGACTATTGAATCATTTGAATTGTTGATGGCTTAACTAGAAAGTTATTAGCTTGTATTGTTGGTCTCCTTATACTTGAAACAATCCCTTCAATTAAAGGTGAAGCATATTCCTTCAATGTTTGAATAGCTTGATTTGCTACTTGATCCTCTGCGATATTGTCAATTTGTTTAAAAAGTGTTGTCCTCTTGTTTTTCAATTGGTGAAAAGTATGCTCAATCTCAAGATTAAAAGGTGCAAGTTTTATGTTTTTAGAATGAATTATGCACTAACTTGCACACCTACAAAACAAATAAAAGAAAAAAAAACATCAAATTAAAACTCAAATTAATTTGCTTAATATTAATTAGAATCGACATAGTCCTTGACAACAACGTCAAAAACTTGATTAGCTAAATTTACTCTAGAAAGAGTACTAGTCAATTCAAGGAATATAATGATGAAAATATAGTATCATCCCACAGAGACTATAGACTAATTAAGTACTAAAATTAACTAATGTTAATTTTATTTGAACAATTGAAATTAAATTATTTGAATGAAGTAATTAACTAAAATAATTAAAGAAAAAACTAAATTAACTTTGAAGGACACCAAGAGTTAAAATTCTAAGGCATTTGATTTTACCATAGTCAATTAATATAGAATTTAAATTAATATACTTTCAAGGTCTTTATTACTCATGTGATAGTGAGATTTTTTATTCTATTCAATATACTTTTAGATTTTCAATTGCTAACACCTTTGAATATCTAGTTTTCTTTGAATCCCTAAATGCATAAGTTGCTTTTCACTAGAGTTCTACCTTCAAATCTAGCTTCATGCAAAAGTTATGATACGAACTACGCCAACCTGTGTCAAAACTTGTAAACAAGACAAGGCACCAAGACCGTTTCTAAGATAAGTTCGAGAGGACGGAACCGCGACCCATTACCTATGATGAGGTAAGAACCTTGGTATGGAGAAGATGCCACAATCAACTATGGAAGGGCAAATCAACAAGTCGAAGATGAATGCCACGGATAATTCCGATAAGTTCAAAAAGTTGTTCAAAGAACTAGAGAGAATTCGTTCTCCCAATGCTAATGAATAATCATCCCTCCTACAATTAGGGTTACATCCCTATAAATAGCTAAAACTTATCCTAATCAAAATAGAAAACTAACAAACCAAGTCCTAATCCTAATAACCACAAATTTGGGCTTCAACTAAATGAATGTTTAGCCCAAATAACACAAAAAAACGTAAAAATATGCTAGCGCAAGAGGAGAGGAGGTACACGTGCTAGCCATAACACAAGGTCTGATCCTTGGAAACCAAGTTCTTCCTGAAAGGAGGACAAGCCACAACCGTCCTCAACTCTCAAGCACCAATCTGAGCATAAGATTGAGAACACTAGCCACAATTCTCAAGGTAAAATTGACATTTCTACTACTCAAAATCGTGATATTAAGTGCTTTAGATGTCAAGGCAAGGGTCACATAGCGAGTCCATGTCCAAATAAGCGAGTTATGGTGATGCAAGAGAATGGTGAAATTGTGACTGATGACGAAGATTCTAACACTGATGAAATGCCACCATTGGAGGACGCCTATGAGGTGGAGTTTGTTGTACATGGAGATTTGTTGGTGGTGAGGAGGGCTTTAAGTGTGCAAGCAAAGGACGTGGATGAAGTGCAATGAGAGAACATCTTTCACACTAGTGTTATGTCAAAGATAAGGTATGTAGTGTGATTATTGATGGTGGTAGTTGTACTAATGTTGCTAGCACAACCATGGTGGAAAAATTACGATTGCCCTGCTGAGACACCCTAGTTCGTACAAGTGGCAACGGTTGAATGATAACGACAAGGTAAAGGTAAACAAACAAGTGTTAGTTGCATTTCGAATCGAAAAATACAAAGATGAGGTACTTTGCGATGTCGTTCCAATGCATGCTGGGCACTTGTTGTTAGGGCGACCATGGCAGTTTGATCGACAAGTCAAGCATGATGGGTTTACCAACAAATACTCTTTTGTACTTAATCAACGTCCAATCACTCGTGTACCTTTGACACCACAACAGGTGTATGAGGATCAAGTGAGGCTTAAAAAAGAGAGATCAAAAAGAAGAGAATGAGCAAAAAAGAGAGTGTGAGAAAAAAGATAAAAGTGGAAATTCGAGAGAAAAGGAGAGAGAGGCCAAAAAAATTGAGAGAGAAAAAAGGAAATCAGATTCAACTTTAGTGAGTTTAAGAGAGGAACAAACATTGTTTCATCGCAAAACAAAAGTAAGATCAAGAGAGCTTTACATTTACAACAGCCCTTTATAGTACTTTTGTACAAAAAGGCTTTTTTGTGCAGTGATGATCTTGCCGAAAATTTGCCAAGTAGTGTTATTTCTCTTTTGCAGGATTACGAGGATGTATTTCCCAAAGAAACGCCACCTGGATTACCTCCACTATGAGGGATTGAACATCAAATTGATTTTGTACCTGGTGTGACAAATCTAAACCGACCAGCCTATAGGAGCAACCCCAAGGAGACAAAGGAGGTAAGTGAATTAATGGAGAAAGGGTACATGAGGGAAAACAAGAGCCCATGTGCTGTTCCTATTCTACTTGTGCCTAAAAAGGATGAGACTTGGAGGATGTGCGTTGATTGCCGAGCCATCAACAACATTACAGTAAAGTATTGATATCCTATTTCTCACTTAAATGACATGTTAGATGAGTTGCATGGTGCTTGTGTATTGTCAAAAATTGATTTGGAAAGTGAGTATCATTGAATTTGCATGAAAGAGGAAGACAGCCTTTAAGACAGCCTTTAAGACAAAACATAGATTGTATGAGTGGTTAGTCATGCCATTTGGTTTAACTAATGCACCAAACACATTTGTGAGATTGATGAATCATATTTTGTGTGCATTCATAGGCAGGTTTGTTGTTGTTTATTTTGATGACATTCTCATTTATAGCAAAAACTTGGAAGAACATGTGCATTTGAAATCAGTTTTGGATGTGCTTAGAAAAGAAAAGTTATTTGCTAACTTGAAGAAATGCACTTTTTGCACTGATAGGCTCGTATTTCTTGGTTTTGTTGTTAGAGCACAAGGAATACAAGTTGATGAAGAAAAGGTCCAAGCAATTCAAGAATGCCCGAGTCCCACAAGTGCAGGTGAAGTACAGAGCTTTCATGGACTTGCCAGTTTCTATCGATGGTTTGTGAAGGACTTTAGCACACGTAATCAAGAAGAACGTTGGATTCAAGTGGGGCGAAGAGCAAGAAAAGGCGTTTCAGTTAATCAAGCAAAAATTGACTAACGCTCTATTATTGTCTTAACCTAATTTTAATAAAACATGTGAGATTGAATGTGATACTTCAGGTGTAGGTATTAGAACAGTACTCATGCAAAAAGGTTGACTAATTGCGTATTTTAGTGAAAGCTAAGTGGGGCAGCTTGATGAGAACCCCAAAGAGAACAGTGAGCCCCACAGCACGACAAGGGATTTCTAAACACCAGGAAAGCTAAATCAGGTTTATAATAGGACCTTGACCAGTTGCTTATGTCACAACAAGAACCAAAAGTAAAAACCTTGACCCGTTGTCTATGACGCAACAAGAACCAGAGTTATAAAGTTGGTTGATGCCACACCCTCAAACGATTAAGAACAAGAATGATAAGTTAGGTTAGAACACCATAAGAATAATCTTGATAAGTTGTATAAAGTTCTGAAACGAACCAAAGAGAAAAGTCTCTCAAAAAGTCAGATTCAATAGCTCTCCTCAATTAGGGTTACAAGCCCTTTAAATTGGGGAAAGTAATTCTAATCAGAATAGGAAACTAACACCCTAAGCCCTAATCCTAATAACCATGAATTGGACCTCAAATAAATGAATGTTCAGCCCAAAATAATATAAAAAACATGAAAATAACTGAAAGTAACCTAAAGTAACATGAAAGATTAGTTTGTTACAAATTGCGACAGAATTGCGGGATTTTGACGCAAACTATGTAATTTAGCATAAATGACCTCAATTAAGCTTCTCTTGAATTTGAATGATGTTTACCATGCCTTGATAATCATCCAAGCTTTGATTTACATGTTGCATGCTGTTATCAACCCATATCTGCTCAATAAGGCCATTTAAAGCTTCTCGCATCTTCCTAGCTCTAGCTCTCGTTACTGGACCTCCTGGAATGTGTAATGGATCTCTTGACGTGGTACATGTGGGGTCATCTTGATTCCCATCATTCCCTCTCTCCTCAAAAGGATTTATCCTCAAATCGTCACCTACATCAAAAGGAGAAAGACCAGAAACATTAAAAGTAGCACTAACATTATACTCACCAGGAAGCTCCAACTTGTATGCATTGTCATTTATCCTTGCAATCACTTGAATGGTCCATCGCCTCTCGGTTGCAACTTAGAATACCCTTGTGCAGGGAATCGCTCCTTCCGCATATGCACCCAAACCCAATCTCTAGGTTCAAACACAACTTTCTTGTGCCCTTTGTTGGCTTGATTTGCATATTGCTCAGTTCGCCGCTCTATGTTTTGTCGCATCCTCTTATGTAGTAGCTTAACCACTTCAGCTTTCTTTTTTCCATCCAAACTAGCTTGTTCATCAATGGGTAATAGTAATAAATCCAAAGGGGTGAGTGCATTAAAACCATACACAACTCCAAATGGTGAACATTTAGTTGCTGAATGGACGCTCCGATTATAAGCAAGTTCAACATGTGGCAAACATTCTTCCCAATTCTTCAAGTTTTCTTGAATAATCGAACACAATAAGGCTGATAACGTCCTATTAACCACTTCTATTTGTCCATCAGTTTGTGGATGACAAGTAGTTGAAAACAATAGCTTAGTTCCCAACTTTCCCCACAAGGTCTTCCAAAAGTAACTCAAGAACTTAACATTGCGATCAGAAACAATAGTCCTTGGAAAACTATGTAAACGAACAACCTCCTTGAAGAACAGATCAGCAATATTAGTTGCATCATCGGTTTTATGACATGGAATGAAGTGCGCCATCTTCAAGAACCTGTCAACAACAACAAAAATAGAATCACAGCCTCTTTTCGACCTTGGTAAGCCCAGAACAAAATCCATACATATATCAACCCAAGGTTTAGTAGGTATGGGTAAGGGAGTATACAAACCATGTGGTAAAACTCTAGATTTTGCTTGTTTACATGTTATGCACCTTTCACACATCCTTTCAACATCGCGTTTCATATGTGGCCAAAAGAAGTGATTGTTCAGAATATCTAAAGTTTTCCTAACTCCAAAATGTCCCATTAAGCCACCTGCATGTGATTCCCTTATTAACAATTCTCTTAATGAACAGTTAGGCACACATAATCGATTTTCTCTAAATAAGAACCCATC